TTTTTTTTTTTTTTTTTTTTCCCCGTTGTGTACTACCGGTTGCCCAAGGCTCGGCAATAAAGTCCGAGGCTCGGCAATGACCGGGCTACCGGTAGCCTGAGCCACGGGCCTTGACAACCGGTAGGTACTGGTGGTTTAAGAAAGGTGTGATGACCCATATCCTAACATGGACTGAAAGACACGACTGATTTCTGAGTTTTGCCCATAGACTGGATGCCTTGCTGAGTTTCCCGCCTGCTACTAAGTCTGTGTTTGCACGCTTGCTGGACTGCATGTCTCTCTGAGTGCTGGTTGGCTTGAGTGTGTGTGTGGCCCGCAAGGGCACTTGCTCGTTCATTGGGCCCTCAGGGCCGGTACTTATCTGTGGCCATGACATTGAGGGATTGCAGCAGGAAAAACGCTAAAGTAGCGGGTACTGGTGGCCCTCTGGTACAAATCTGCTATCTGGGCCCTCAGCAAGGATGTTGTGCGGTCACTGAAATGGCAGGTGACAGCCCTGCTATGGAGAGGTAATGGAGAATTGCGAAATGTCATAAGCAGGGTAGCCTGGCAATCAGATCCAACCCAAAGAAAAAGGGGGCCTGGGGATCCTGGATCCAGAAATCCAGATCAAAGCCTTAATAATTCAATGGATCAAAAGACTACTTTTCACCAAACACCTCCCATGGCAGGCCCTTGCGGTGGTACAAATAGCTAGACTTGCTCCTCAGACACCGCAGGGTGTTAACCCGCTAACCTGGCTGGAAGACCGTTACTGGACAGTGCCACGGTCCCGTCGAAACGGGCAAGCTCCAGGCCGAGACACAACCCGCTCGGATTTAACGACTTCTGGGTCCAGGTCGTGAAAGCCTGGCGCCAGCTGCCGCCCCCCGACAAACCCTCTCCTACCAGGTGGGAAGAGGTGGCGCGCCAGCCCCTTTTTGGCAACAGAAAAATAACGGACCGAAACAGCAGAGTATATTGTAGCTCCAGTGCCCCGTGGAATGGCTGGGTCAAAAAAGGTGTAACCAGAATTAAAGATATATGGGACACACAAGTGGGGGACTGGAAATCGGCACAACAACTAAGGAGCACACTAAGGTACTGCCACAAAATCGAAGAACATATCGAAACCTTGATCTTTGCTATCCCCCTAGATTGGGTCCGTATCTTGCGCAAAGGGCGGAGGCTGATAGAAGGGGACTGGGTGACCGCCCCGGGAGATCTGGAGAGTGTAGGCAGAGTGATAGAGGTACGGGCGGAAGAAACCTTGACCAATTTCTTACATATTGGCAAAGACAACGTGCTCACCCGCTACATTCCAAACGTGGTAAGATGGTATAGAAATTCAGATCTACACAGAATCCGTGTGCTGCGGGACAAAGATGTGTGGATTGTATATTGAAACAGTTTTCACCTTTGGCAGTAGCCGATGCAGATCCCAGGGGTCGATCCCTTGACCTCAGCTTA